AAATTATCCAAAAAGAACTTATTAGAGGAATGCCAAAACTAGACTTTACTAAGATTCACCTATGTGATGGATGTCAACTAGAAAAAAAGGCGAAGTTCCTCCTTTCATCCCATTAAGGATCTTGAAACTAGCAAACAATTGAAACTTATTCATATGGATCTTTTTGGATCGGTTAACAATATAAGTCTAGGGGGTAAGGTATTTGGATTCATGATTGTTGATGATTTTTTAAGATTTACTTGGGTTAAATTTATTTCATAAGAGTGAATTATTTAAGGAATTTAGAAAATTTTTAACTTGGATTTAGAGAAAACTAGGATGCAAGATTTTATCGATTCAAAATGATCATGGAGGAGAGTTTGAAATTAAAAAATAGAATATTAATTGAAGCCGCTAGAGCCATATTGACAGAATATTTATGTCTAAAATATTTTTGAGCTGAAGCGGTTAGTACAGCTTATTATGTTATGAATATGGTGAATATTAGATCCAAATTGAATAAGACATCCTATAAACTTCTTAAGAGGAGAATACCAAATTTGTCATTTTTACATGTTTTTATATATAAGGTGTTCATTCATAATAATGGTAAAACTCTTTTAGGAAAATTTGATCCAAAATCTAATGAAGGAATTTTTCTTGGATACTCTAGTATTGGAAAATCTTATAGAGTTTTTAACAAGGAGACCATACATGTTATATTTGATGAATTTGGAATTTTAGAAGAGCCAAGGTTAGAAGAGGATCATATTGAAAATAACTCCCAAAGAATTGAAAAGATGAATTTATAAGAAAATGTGGAAAAAGAAAATCGTTTGCCAAGAGAATATAAATTTTCTAAGAATTATCCTGAGGAATTGATTTTAAGTGAACCCAGTGAGGGTGTTAGGATTAGGCATGGACTTAGCAAAGAGGTGAATCATTCTTTCTTTATATCAATGATTGAAAATATAAATATAAATCAAGCATTTTCAGATGAATTTTAGATTTTGGCCATGCAAGAAGAGTTAAATCAATTTGAAAGAAATGATATTTGGAAATTGATTGAAAGGCTAAAGAATCAAAGCGTTGTTGGAACTATGTGTGTATTCAAAAATAAAATGAATGATTTAGGAGTTGTGATAAAAAATAAGGCATGATTGGTGACTAATGGGTATAATCAAATAGAAGAAATTGATTTTGAAGAAACTTTTTCCCTTGTAGTAAGACTTGAAGTAATTAGTGTTTTTTTAGCCTTTGCCTACTTTAAAGGATTTAAATTATATCAAACGGATGTAAAGAGTGTCTTTTTGAATGGGGTGATATAAGAGGATGCTTTTGTTGAGCAACCTCCAGGTTTTAAAAATTTTAAATTTCCTAATCATGTGTTTAATTTAAAAAAGACATTATATGGACTGAAATAGGCACTTAGGGCTTAGTATGAGAGCTTAAGCACTTACCCATTAGAGATCTTTTGTGAAAGGAAGTGTGGACACCACTCTTCTTTTGAAGAAAATAAGAGATGTCATACTCATTATTCAAATATATATATTCATGATATCATATTTGGATCTACAAATAATAATTTTTGTGATGATTTTCAAAAATAATGAGTAGTGAATTTAGATGAGATATAATGAGGACCATTCTACTATTAGTTCTTATGTTCAGAACTAATGAGTAGAAATTACCAAGGAGGAGTTAGGCAACTTTATTTGTTTGAGAACCCAAGGCATTCGAGCCCATATTTTAACTTCTGGGGCCGATTTTGATAGGAGTGAAATCAATAAAACTCTTAGAGGTGTATCCCAACTATGTCATTTTTCTAGAATTTACACTTTACATCAAAATGCTTAGGCCATCCAACATGTTTTGAGATCTTCTATTATCCCTAAAGCTGGTGATCGGATAAATATGACTCCAATTTTGTCCACAGACACGTATTTAATTATGAATGAGAAAATCTTTGATGAAGTCTAACTCATCATAGATTATATTTATAACCTTTTTGAAATTAAGCTTCCACATCATAAGAGGATGAAGCGGCTTTTGGATATTTAATTACCTACATTCTACATAAGAAGTATAACCTGATTCATCCTGATGCTTCCACAGAACTTCCTTTCTACTTTACTGATGCCACTTTTCGGGCACTTTGTGGGAGAGATTAGAGTTTAGAGAGTGATGATTCTAAGGATGAAGGGGGAGCTCTTGCCCTAGCACCTGCACTAGGACCTGACCAAAACTACTCCAACGATTTGATTGATTGGATACTCATTTTGATTAATGTTTTTATCAAATTGAAACTCATCTTAACTAGCAAGATGCTCACTACAATGAAGATATGGGGTGGGTTCATGGATAGTTTGACTTAATGAACATGAATATAGCTATAATTAGTAGTTATTTTTCAATGTTCAATCAACCACCTCCTCCAGACTAGGGCCCTTCAGATTTTTAGATGTACGTCTATCATGTTATTGCTTCTGAGTTTTTGTATTTGCTATTGTGATGTTTCTACTTTAGTTTAGTGTTTTCATGTGTTGAGATGATGTAGACTTGATGATATGATGTGAGTTGTCATGATGATATAATTTAGAAATATATGTTTATATGTGATCTTTATAATGAATAGAATATTGGAATGCTTCATTCATGTGCATTGACTTTTAATTTTTGAAATGTTTATGATTTTAAAGAGAAAAACCTTTTGAAATTTATCATTGAAATGGATTATAAAATACTTTGCCCTAAAAATTAATTTCTTTACAAAATTTAATCTTTCAAAAAGTTAAATTAAAATTATAATTGGATTTAGATAAAGAATCAATTTCATGTTCCTATAGACAAATATATCTAAGCTATAATTATTACAAGATTGATGTCTTCTTATTTTTTATTTTTTTCAATATATTTATTTTTATTATTAGTGAAATTTGATTTTAGATAATTGATATTGGAAAGACTTAAAAAGTAAAAAATTAAAAATAAAATGCACAATGTGTGCAAAAATAGAGAAGAAGTGCAATGGTTCCCAAAGTAAAAAAAATAAAAAAAGATACAAAATCAACCAAAATAGAAAAAGAAACACGAAGTGTGCCACAAATATTTGAAAAGATGCGCAATGTCGCCAATTAAAATATTTTCTATTGTGTTCTTTCCTTTACCATTTAATCTCTAATCCAAATCTATCTAATTAATAATTATATCTATTACTGAATTTGAAATTAACTAATTTTTATTTCATTATTTTTGTAATAATCATTTTTTATTTAATTTGTCTAGAATGAACAATGAACCTAGTTGAGGCCATTTTTGTACTGAACAAAACATGGTTTTATTAAAATAGTTCATGTTGTACGATATAGATTTCCTATAATACATTATTTAGAGTACGAAATTATTTTGTACTGAATCGTATTGGATGAATCTATTTAATTTTGAATTGATCGTATTGTATGATATAAGTTCATACATAGGTCAATTAGAGTACACAATCGATTCATACTGGTTCGTACAAGCAAATTTTGAACTGTTCGTACGTACGATCATGGATTGTTAAATTGAAAAATTTTAATTTTCTGGACAGTTTTTCATGTCTTTCATATATAAGATCGACTGTGGGAGAAATCATTCTTCATTTTTTCTTTGAGAGCAAGTGTGAGAGTTATTTGGGAGAATGTTTGAGAGAGAGAGAGTTCTTGCAAGTTGAGAGTGCGAAGGGTTCACAAGATTACTCAAATGTGAGGATCTCTGTGTATAGGGCAAATCTCTTCCTTACTTCTTTGAAGATGCTTGAGAAAAGTTCTTTGAAGAAGATCTAGTTCCCTACCGACACTTATAGAGTGTGAAAGGATGACAATACTCTGTCAATACCTGGAGAGTGTTAAAGGATGACAGTACTTTACTAACACTTAGATGGTATGAAAGAACGATGGTATTTTTCCAACACTTGGATGGTATTAAAGGATAACGTTACTCTTCCGCACTAGGAATTGGTTGAAGAGAGAATAATTATAAAGGATTCTTTGACTTGCTGTGGGAGCAAATGAGAGTCACATTGGTAATAGTGCAATACTTAAAAAGGGAGTCTTTAGGGAGTGGATGAAGGTCTAGTTGGACCAAACCACTATAAATTTATGTGTCTAATTTTACTACATTTTTACTTTTCTATGTATTTAAATTTTTTGGTTGAAAATTTTTAAATTAATAATTTTTTTGTTCCTAGATATGCCATTTTGGCTGAGTGATATCACTACTACTCAAATTTTTTAAACTATGACCTTTATATTTCTTCTTTGGATTAACTTCAGTGTTATCGGGCAAGATGTCATGGGGTTTACTACTAATTTTTTTTATAAATTATCCTAATTAATTTTTAAAGTTCTTAGTTAAAGTAGCTTGAACTTATAGTTAGTTTCCTGTTTGAATTACTAACTCCTCTAAAGGTGACTTTTTATGTCTGAATTGATTATTCTGATTAAAACCTAAAGGTTAAGAAGGTTTAGGGTTTACTACCGGTTGTCGATGATTATTTTAATTTCCTCCAAGATTTGATTGACTTGCATCCTCTTATTATTTTCACTATTAATATTATTCTAGCTAAAATTAGGGTTATTCCTCTAACCTATATTAATATTAAACTAAGATTATTTTATCTTCCAATCACATTCTCAATCCCTTATGTACTATTCTCACAAATAGTATTTAAATAATGCTCATCCAAATACATAAATTGAATAGATCCTAAATTAATTCCAAGATTATCCAACTTCATAGATATGCATGCTATCTGAGCTATCAAAATTGATAAAGTATCCGACTCATAGACACTTAATGTTCTCTTAGGATTCACCCTATCAAAAGACTACTAAAAATTATTTGTCGCCATCTCCTCTATGAAGGAATAAGCCTCTTCAAAAGGATTTAACATCAAGAACCTCCAGTTGTAACATCAATAGTTAACCTATGTGATCCTACATCCCCATTATAAAAGTTCTTTATTACAAACCAATCAAGCAAAGCATAATGAGGGTACTTTTTAAGCATTTCCTTAAAATTTTCCCAACTCTCATAAATTGACACTCCAACAAACTGGAAAAAAGATGTTATATCATTCCTAAGCTTGACAAACTTAGAAGGTGAGAAATACTTAATTATGATTTTATGTGTCAACTCATTCAAAGTGATTATAGAGTCTAAGGGAAAATTATTGAACCACATCTTAACTTTGCCCTTGATAATAAAAATAAATGTCTAATATCATCATCAGTGATGCCATTATACTTAAATGTTGCACATATTTCTAAGAAGTTAGTTATGTAGGTTAGGATCCTCAGCAGGACTTTCTCTAAATTGAAATTTTTTAATCATTTAAATAATAAAGGTTTCAGCTCAAAGTGAATTGCTTGGATAAAATGTCGGTTGATACTCTAATGAATTTCATTTACTATAGGATTGACATACTCCCTAAGAGCTTTAAGATGGTCTTGATCTATATTTGGTTAAGCTATTCCTAATGATTTTTTCTTCTAATTTTTGTTAGGGTTCTCTCAATATTTAAATTAAATAATAAGGGCTTTTAACTAGATTTAATATAAATACACCAATCACACAAGAATGAAAAGAAAAAAATTAAATTAAACTGGTAAAATAATATATATTTTTTCTTTTTTTTAGGGTTTAGGATACAAGTAGTATTAAATATACATCTCTTTCAATAATATAGAATAAAATTGTATGAAAGTAAGTTACTTCCTTTTGTAATGGCGGCAAAAGCTTGATCGTGGGTATGGGGGCAATACATGCGTAGAATAGTCAGATGTACGTAAAATATGTTTAGATTTTTTTCGATATAAATGCCAACAAAATAATGTAAGTGCACACGTCGATCAAGTGCAAGAGTGATATAAACAAGTGACAATCCCATGAGAAAGTATTTTGTTACGATGAAAATGTGCTAATATTATCTATTTATGCTACAATATTTATCCTACACAATAAAAGTTAGATTTAGAATCTATCGTGGCTGACAAATGCAGAAGAAAGATAAAATACTAGTAGGTAAATTATTTTGGACTATTAATAGTGAATTTCTAAAACTTTCTTATGTAGACTCTGATATGTTGATTGTGAATAAGAGCATATGCATTCTTAGATCTCCATCGAGCTTGTAATGAAGTGAAGGAAGGTTTATGGCCCTCCTACAACTATTATCTCTCCATAGACTCTAGAATAGTAAATATCCTATATCTAGGAATGCAAGAGTTCCATTTTAATACTCCAATATTCCTCCATCGATATGAGGCATCTCACTATATTTTAACTCTACACATGACCATTGGATAAATTAAATTAAGAACTACAAATATTGAAAATATTCATTAATTCATTAAAGCAAAAGAGTCAAGTTTAGTAATCACTAAGGACTCAAATCATTAGCCAAAAACTATGAGTTAAGCTAGTCATAGAATTAAAATAAAATATTAATATAGAATTCATTGATTGTTCCATAAAGAAAGTACAAGGAGAAAAGTGCAAATAAATATTGCTTGAATAGTACAACTTTACTCTCCACACTCCTTTGTTCTTTTGATTGCTTTCTTATAACAACGTAAGTAAACCACACAAATTTCTATTTCTTTCTCTCATTTGGCCTTCCTTAGACTTGACTTTATATTGACACTATAATTAAGCACTCTAAACTTTCCTAAAATGATAGAATATATAAATTGATATAATCTTTCTACAAATAGACTAAAAACTATTTATATTATGTACTTAAACGAATTCAGATGCTGTGATACTCAACACGGTGGCACCACAAAATTACAATATGAACTAGGAACTCGGTGTTACTGAGTAGGCTCTGTTATGGCACTGGACTGTTTTGTCATGGCTATTGGTTGACTGACACTCTGCCTGGCTGATTCAACGCAGATTCACATTTTTTTAAATGCTCGACTGTTGTGCTATAAAAATTGAGAGCTATGGCACTTGAATGTAAAATCTGGGGCTGCAATGTTGTGAAGTTCGGTGATACAACACTTAAATATTTAAGATTCTTGTGCTATGATGCTAATTTTTGGCACTGCGACATTGTGAAGCGCTACAACACAAAAGTTTGAGCGCCGCAATACTGGTTCAATTCTTGTGAATTTTTCTCCTTTTTCTGAAATATTCTTGCACAAAATCAACTAAAAGCATTATTTTTATTGGAATTTTAGACAATACAATACTCCATAATTTTTACTTCACAGTTAGGGTTTGTATTTTGAACATATAAATGGACTAAAATTGTCAAGAAACGTTTTCATGAGTTAAGAATGCCTTATAAAACATTCACTATGTGTTTTAAGACAATTAAAGCTGTTTATGATTTTTTCAATTTATTTATTAATTAACATTTTAAGTTTGTTGATGCATGTTTGCAATTTTTTAAATTGGCTGAATTTTCCCTAATTTTAGGATTCATAAGGAGTTCAATGCACTTTATTTTATATTTTCAGAATTTTTTAACTTTATTCGGGTTTTCTTTATTTTGGAATTATGGTTTGATATTTAACTCCTTAAATGAATTCAAATTTATGGACCACTATGGATCTAAGGATCAATCTCTAAAAATTTTAACTTATTTGGAGTTATTTTTTATTTTTAAGAATTTATTGATTTTTTATTTGAACTATTATTCAAAAGTTAGGAAGGCTAATTTCTGACTTCAAAATAATTTGAATAGTTTTTTGTATCTTCTATGAGTCATTCAGTTTATGTTGCTATTTGTTTCACATTTTCTAGCTTTTATTGAACTATTTAGGGATTATAAAAAATTCCTTAGGCTATACAATATCCTAATCTAACCCAGAATTAGAGTTTGAAAAAATTTTAAGTAAATGGACTCAAATTTTCTGAAATTAACATTATAGGCTTATATGAAACTCAATATCAACCTCTATAACTTCGAGATAATTTGAACCTAAAAAGAATTTCTAAAATTTTTTAAGGTTCTAAGGTTCATATATTTATTAATGAATTAAAGGTGTTAAATAATTTTATTTAGGTTTAGGAGATTTCTTTCCAATCTACGTGATCAAAAGAGGGCTTGAATTTAATTTCAAGATTTTAAAAATTTTAGAGAGTTATTTATTAATTTGCAAAGTTTATTTTCATTTTAAGATCATATATTTTGAAAATTCAAATTTTTTTGCTTTGAGGACACCTTGGTGAAAGTTGGGGATGTATCTCTATACACGTATGTTTATTGAGGAAAACTCTGAGTTGGCTTAGATAGAGTATACAAAGCTTAAATAGATTCCACGAGCTTGCTTTTAAAATTTTATGAAGTCTTGATTATGATTTTTCTTCACAACAACACTACATATCATTCAACCATTATTAAGCATAGTCATGAAGGCTCAATTATACCATTATACTAGTCTTTTTATGTTGGCATCATGCTTACAAGAACAGATTATTACATCATTGAGGTGAAAGGCTACCTATAGAAGTGCTTTATAGCTAAAGATTTTAAAAAACCCAAATTCTTTTATGGAATTGACTTTTCTTATAAAAACTATTTTGTTTGCTGAGTAAAAGGAATAGTTTTAAGAAAATTTGTGTTTTTGATTTGATGAAAAGGAAATGTAATGTAAAATTTCATTAAATTCCTTTTATCTCTCTAGTTCATTTTTTATGTATTATAAATTGGACAAGTTTTGATCATTTTTTTTCACTGCAAGCCTATTATATTGTCTTTATCTATCATCGTTGGCCACCTCTTGTTGTCATATGTTGCCAGTGGCTTTGCTCACATTGCCCACAAACAACTACCTTTCAAAGACGCCTTCGCCTTTGGTCGACCACGAGTCGTTGATTGCTGTTGTTGGCAATGGACAACCATTAGTCTCTTTCCACTAATGACCCCCACCACTATCCACCTCTTGCTAATCTCGGATCACTAATCATATCATTGCCAGTGCTCACTACCGGCCACCTCCACTGATCGTGAATGTTTGTTGCTACCTTTCACCACTCACAGCCAATAACATCCTCCACCAACCACCATTTTCCATCATCACCGCCATTGCCCACTACCATCATTTTACTTTAATCCAAAAAAAGATTCTCTTTCATTCCTTTTGCTCTCATCTAAACAACTTCCAATATTTCAAATATACTACATTTTTTTTAATTATGCATCCTTTTATTATCATGCATTCCTTTTTTAGCAAATAAAAAAGCCTCATAGTGAAAAGCTATCTCAAAAGAAAGATGCCACTCATATTGAAAAATGGCATTCTTGGTTGATACCCATTGCTCCTAGAGATTTTGATTGCATTTGATGATGAATAATCTCTTGAAGATCCATCTTAATATTAATGGTTAGTTAGTAAGTGGATTTTATCTTATTATTACTAGGTATAATTCATTTACCATTGGAGTGCTAAGTAAGCACCTGCAAAATTCACACAAAAAAAAATCATTTGGAAGCCACTATATAAATATTCATGTATATCAGAAAATTTCTTAATATTAAATTTGAGTACATGAATATTGAATCATTCTTTGATGTTAAATATATTTGTTTGATTAACGATATAAACATAATCTTAGGAAATACCATCTTTACTGTGAGTAATCTGATCATTTGATAAAATAACTAACATTATGTGATGACTTGATTTACTTTTTTTTTTATGAAGCAAAAAATCATTGCATTAACTAAAATAAAAGACCAAATTCAACCTAGGAATCATTCCAAACAAGTTCCTCCTTTAACAAAGAAAGAAAATAAGGAGGAACCTTATTAAAACTAATATCCTCCCAAAGGAATTCACTAAAATTGCATAGTTAGCACACAAGTCCACTAACTTATTGCAATTTCTATCTATACAATTGAAAATAACATGATTAAATTCTTGAAAAAATCAAAGCTCTCCATCAACCGTCAAGCTTTCCTTAAAGAATTTTGAAGAAGATTAATAATATTGGAATTATCACCTTCGATAATAAGATCCCTTATAATACAATATCCAATCATTAATAACATCTCTTAATGATTGAATAGATGAAAGCTCCTGCTGAGAAATATCCAAATGAACACACCTCTTCCCAAAGGCCAGTAAAAATCT